TATTTTTAAATTGAAATTACAGCACATTTTCGAACAAAATAATTCGACATTAAACATTTCCTGTATTTCATTGCTGGCTAATACGATTCGTAAAAGAACAATAATCAAACAATTGATTCACTGTTCACTAATAAACACCAAATTAAAAAGTGATAAAATTGTAATACACCAAAATACGGTTAAAAATTTCAAATTCATTTTAAAATGGGATATCAAAAAAAAATATCATTCGAACGGACGGTTCCGCTGAAACGACGTGACAATTTGGTGAGTTCTGACTATACCGACGTCCAATCATTTATACCGTCGTACGACACACGATGTGAAAAACCAAATGTGTTTTACTTAATGTCCATGGAGTATCAACGAATTTGGGAACAGGAAAAAAACGAATACTTCAAATCCACTATTATCATTGGCACGGCAGTGTTGAAACCCTGGTTAAGGGGTCATGCTAGAAAACATCAGCATAATATCCCAAGATTGACAGTACCATATTGTGTACCGGAAAAAAGGAAGACGAAGTACGACCATATTAAACCTACGTTCCATAAAATAGATCACTATCGACTACCCAAATGCGTTGATCGTAAACAGCAGATTACAATTCAAAAATGTCTTTGATTTGGACACCAACGTCTGTTGACCACATTGCAAAATATGTATTGCATTACTACCGTGAACCGTAACAATTTACACTATATGAATATACTTAAATGGGAAATAGTCTGAATATAGAATTATTTGAATAAATGTAAAGATTTGAATGTCATACACGACCAGTGTTTGCGTTTTAAAAAAATAATAAACTTAGTATTATATTGCACATTTGGCTTTTGCATCACATTCTACTACCCTCGATCTGCTCTTTAGAAAATTACTTTTTAATTAATGTCTGAAATAATACATGTCTACTGAATTCGATTTATTATACTATTACTAATTTTTAAGTTCTATGATTTTTTTAAACTTAAGTTTTAAAAATCTAAAAGTTACCATTGCAATAACATTAGATTTCAAGTCTCTAGACCCAGCGATTTGATCTGAGCGTTTGTGAATGAATAATGGTCTCCTATATGTATAAAAATTAAATTGTTTTTTTTTTTTTGCTTTGACACACTGTGTATGTACAGTGTACACTGGTAAACAATGCGGTTTCAAACAAAAATTAACTAATAGATTTACTGTTATAATAATTCATTATCCACAGTGAGAATTTAGTAAAATATAATATGCCTGATTAAAAAGTACAATGCATATTAATACAATAAAGAATTTTCAGTTTTTGTCAAGTTATATTTATAAAAATAATTTGAAAATCTTCATCGAGTTGTGTCCTTCATAACGTTTACATATACGCAGTACGCATGCTGATGATGACGATGATGATTGTGAGACTTATCTAGAGACATTTATCCAAATAAGCGTTGTTGGAGTTGTTTAATATTGTTTTTCTCAGTACAAAAATACCGATCTAGATGCCTTCTTAATCATAACATTTGATTGAAGTTATCTATGGTTAGTTAAATTGACTCATCATAGACGTTTTCAAACCCTAATGTAATTACTAGAATTAAAAAACTCGAAATAATCATATTCTATAATCTTCTACTCAAAATTATAATCGATAGATACTGTCTAAACTATAATATTTACTACTGTTGTACATATACCTACCTAATTCTTTAGATAAAATATCTTTTTTCAATATTATTATTTTTTAATTATTAATTTAACAACTATTTATTAAAAATTACCATTTCACTTTTCTCGACCCGTAGTTATATTGATAAATAAAATGTGAATAATTTACTCTATTCTTTAATAAATACATAAGATGAATATTCCCAATACGATCTTATCTCGGTGTGGTCGGTGTGGAAAATAAAACTCAATTAAAACATTCCTAGAAATATACAACAATATTAAGTAACTATCATAATTATGATAATAATAATAATAACAATAATAATAATCATTATTATAATTTATAATTGTAAATAGATACAAAAAAACGCAGTAGTATAAAAAGTTATTAATAACTACCGTAATTCCATTTCTGTCGATGTACAAAGAATGCCCATGTTTGAACATAACGAAACCGGTGAAACACGATTGCGCCCATTCTATTTTTTCACATGTAAAAACCGCAAAACAAGATTGATTTCCGTGAAATCAATCTTTAAATTTAAGTCGTGTCCTTCTTAAAATTTCTCAATACACTACTTTAAGAATGCATTCGAAGTGGTAAAGTCAAATTTTAAGTTAAAAGTTTGAGTTTACAGAGTGGTAGCGGTGCTTCTAGCGATCAAGGAAGAGCAATACCCTAACACTGTATACAGTGGTTGTAATAGCTATGTTTTTTTACAATAATAGAGCTGGAGGTAATAACATCCATTATGTGGCTTAGTAAAAGTCGCTACTAGGTGGTGATCTTAATTCGGGATCTCTAAATTTGAGTAAGTGGCAAAAGTGATGATGGCTCTGAAATGGGCCGTTTTCGTTCTGGAATTCACTGGAAGTCGTACTGGAAATATTAATCTGGTTTATTATATTTGGTATCCGGCAGCGAAGTGACCACCGTTTCGGTAAGTCGTTCATGGCCGATGACCGTACAGCTGTCTACTGGAGCAGAGAGGCTGTCGTTTTTCGTAGTGATTTTCATTGGAGGGTTTTTTTGTTTGTTTGTTTTCAGTATATGAGGAACAAGCAAGTTGTTTTGATTTGTTTACCTTTAGTGCAGAAGTGACTGGGATGGTTACAACAACACTTTACGCATTTAGGGTGATGACCGTATCGTAGAATAGAGTGTCCAAATCGTTGGCACGAAAAAAACTGAATTGACAAGGTTGATGTTTGACGTCTTACTACAGTTTTTAAATTGAATATTTTTTCTATGGTACAGACGTCTTTTACATATGACGAACTTTTTAATGATATCGCATCAACTGATATCCTCTTGTCGTATTTTTGGAAATTTCATATGAAGTTTCGTTCAAAACCTAAGTAAACTAGTTCTTTGAGAGGTCATTTTAGGTTACGTCCAAGAAAATACCTTTGATTACGATTTTCAGACATTTTTAAACGTGTGCAATTTAGTGCGAATCGCGGGTTAAAGATAGTATTTTTTGGACTACTTGAATGTGAAAAGTGTGGAAGTTAGGGCATATCACTTTAATTTTTTAGGGTACGAATGTTATTAAATTGATGAGTTCTATAGTTGTGTACAGTTCTTTGGAATTTATGCATTGTGATACGTTAGTTTTTCATACAATTAAAGTTTGTGCAATACGTACCTTAGACAAGTTAGCTCCATTGTTTCTTGTATGTTTTCCTTTTTTACGTGAGAAGTTGGCAAGGTAGATCCAGATCATGAGAATGATGTGTCTAAGAGGCTGCTCAAGAACGAGTCAATAGAGGTGTAATCTTTGTCGTGTTATTCAGTCGAAGTAAATTGCATCTGTATCCACAGTTTCTTCGTGGTTTGTTCGTAGACAGTTGGGGAGATGGACACGGGTATTTATGTTCAGTGCGTTGTTCTGAGCATTTGCTGTGGCTGGCAGATGTTGCCTCTTGAAAAGAGAGTAGTGAAATGAGCAGTTAACTCATATATTTTTCGGTTATTTTCTCGGTGGGTGTATTTTTATGTCATATCAAGCTTTATTGTTTACTGGTTTTTTTGGGTTTTGAAATAAATTGTTATAGTGAAAGAATACAGTGTATTATTCAGTCACATTATACAGGCGTATCGTGGTTTTGGTATAGCTCAGTTCACTGCCAAATTTGCGTTGGTGTACCTCATTTTGTTTTCAGTGAACTAATTCGACAGAGATGGACAATTTTCCTGCGGTTGATTGTATATAGGCATAATATGGTATTTGATATGGTTTGAACTATTATCTAAGTGTTTCTGATATAATATCCAATCATCAGAAAATCATTGAAGAAGTTTTTAAGTACCTAGATATACTACAAACATACATTCAAATCTCATAATTGTTTTAAGATATAAATTTGTTCAAAACCATAATTGCGACGATTTGATTTAATGTATTCTTAAACCCCATCTGCTTGAGTCACCAATGGCAAAAAATACTGTTTTCTGCTATAACTATTATGCTAATATTCAAGCTGTGACAAACTGCAACCATTTACTCGTATAAACAAAAATGTCAATTGTAAATCAATATTCCTTTCTTAAATATGCAATAAAATAAATTAAAGATCATTTATCCAGATAGCAACTATATTGTCTCTCTATTTTTGGGGTCCAAGCAAGATACATTGTAAACATTTCATTAAAATTGGTTAGTGGTAGTAGTTATAAGCTTGTTCAAACATCGTGACATGAGATTTATATATATAGTAAAGATTTCTAAATCGTCGATACAAATTTATTTGTAAAATTTAAATTTTTAAGAATTTCTTACTCAAAATAGTTTCCTAATGTTTAGGAATATTGTCAACATTGCAAATTCAAACTCTTATAAAAAATGATTGTGGATTTACGTTTATTTCTTTTACTAATTTACAATAACTTGCGAGATACCTTTTATTAAATTTTCAAGTATTTCGACTGATTGGAAAAGTTTTTATCTACAATAGTTAAGAAAAAAACTAATAAAAACTAAAATTTTCAGTGCCTATTAAGAAAAAAACAAAATTATTTTGAAAATTAAATAGTGTATTCAAATGTAAAAATATAAACATTCAATAAAAATGCAAAGTATCTAAATTAAATGGTTGTTTTGTTTCACTAGTTAAACCTTAAAGAATATTGAGCACAGTCCCCGTTTTCATTATTTTGTTGTTGTAACAACGCTATTGAAAACTATCGATAATTTTATATTTTGACCATTTTTAATTCCAACTAGATTCACTTTCCAATATTGAAGAATTATTTCAACTACTTATAGTGTAGCATACACAAACAATAAACGTGAAATTTAACATAATTTTCCTTTATAAAAATATATATTTATTTAATGTTTTCATTAGTTTCAAATAAAAATTAACACATTACACAATAATATTGTTAAACTTGTATGAAAAATAATAGTATGTAGCTTAAGCAAATTTCCAGAGTTCTTTTTTTTTTTTGGCTCTATTATACTGTTTATCCATTTTAAATGAGAGTGTAAGAACGAGTAAATCTCTTGCTGGTTAGGAAGGCCACATCCACCTGGCCCTCCGGCGTAGGGAAATCCAAAACTGCATACTCCGTATTGAACGCCATTGCATATCATCGGACCTCCACTGTCTCCTGTACATGTTGTTGAAATGCCGTTCGGTACCAGACATAAATATTGTTTCCATGAAGCTTTTATTTCTACACTATTTTAAGTTTAAAAAAATTGTAAAAACATTTAATGAATTACTTGCGTTTATTACCTGTCGTGTAATTGACAAGCTGTTTTACCATAAACGACATCATTAGTCATCATATAACCTGATTTACCTGTCGTTCTATTATCACCAGTACCACCAAATCCAAACAAAGTACAACTCAACTTTTTGCCTCCGTCAAAATCTTTAGGTGAGCCACCAATTTTTATAAATGTCTTGATATTTGGGAATGATTTTTTTAGCTGAATTAAAATTTGATTATGAAATATAATATATCGTATGAATCTATGAATATGTGTGAAGTACCTTGGCTTACATTTAAATAGAATACTAAAGTTTAAAGGTCATTGATGTAGGTTAATATATACAGAAAATATACAATGAATGATAAAGTATAATATTTTTTTTCACACATCAATATAAATCAGATATTATTGATATAGCAGTTACGAGGGTTGAGCGTGTAAATAAAATAAATACATAATTGTGCACATTAGTGAATAATGTTACTAAACTTGTGTGATGAACCTAATTAATTTACTGCAGTACGGAATAGATAGGAGTTTCATTTGGCAATGATTCTAATTGCATAAGTAACAAAATCGGTACTATTTAGATTTGAAAGGCCAATGACAGATGTGAATAACATTTTTATTTTAACAAAAATATATTTGGCCATACCTGTAACACACAAACATCTCCCCGGGGAGCAAAAGGATTTTTTATTGGATCATAGTCTTTGTGTTGGTATATTTTTGAAACCCTTTGAATAGGTCCATTAACTAATGGTGATCCTTGAATAACCTATATAGACATGAATAATTTAGTGTACTAAGAAATGAATTATTTAGTTAAATACAATGGAAATACAGAATAGTTATATTTACTTGTACACCACTTGCCTTTTGACCATGACAACAGTGAGCAGCTGTCAATACGAACTTTTTTTTTACTAATGAGCCTGTGCACCCACTATATTCAGGTCCATTATAAAATTTAAGACACATTACGTATGGATATTTTTTGATGTCAAATATTTTGCCATTGTATATAAGCCCATTATTGAAGTGAAAAGTTGAGTTATGTTCAAATAATGACACTATAATCAACAGAAATAAAATTATTGAAATAGTCATCGTTTCTTAAAATACTGATTTTACATACATATTATTAATATTTATGTATTACAAAAGGTGGTATAGTAAATAGTTACAGTAAACAATATTGTAGAATCATGACAACTACACAGCTTTATTGAATATGTATGATAACAAATTTTTAGTTACAAGGAAGAAGTTTGCATCTTATAAAAGGCGACATAGACTCGTTACAGACTTGTGTAACTGGCTGCAACTGAATACTCCCTTGAAAACAGAGAAGTTTTGTATTATATTATGTAACAGAACAATTCTGTCACTACATAGAAAAATTACTTTACAGGACCACAACCAACCGCAGTGCGTTAAAGGTATAAAGGACTTTGAAAGTGGTTTATAAACCACCTTTGCTTTTCACAAAGTCGACAACCTTACGCTCTGAAAGATTAAATCATACCCAAAATAGGTATACTACTTTTGTATCCGTAACTTATGAAACAACAATATTATGAAAGAAACCCAATGCATGCTAATTTAAGCATTGTGTATATTAGCCGGTAAGAGACACAGTATATGTACCGGTGACTTTAAAAAAAAGTTATCACAAACATTCTACTTTTTTCAGCTTTCAGCATATATGTTCAGTGTTCTGAATAGTAGTTTAAAATATCAGTTCCAACAGCACCAAAAAACTAATGTCCATCTCAACAGGAGCTTTGCTATCACCCACTCATTACGCAGAACAATTACATTTTTAACTCTATCACTTCCAGACCACTAGCTAAGTGATGAAGAGTGCTTAAACATCAGGGTCCTATGCCATGCTGAACCACAACTATCTTCAAATTATCCTCGTTTTGTGGTCCGAAAATAGTTATTTAACTTAATTACTAGAAACGAAATCATACTCCATCATTATCAGGGACCAATAAACTTAAACAAACATTCACCTCGACCACTTCTAGCTCTATCTGAAACTCAGAGCCCCACTCACATTATCTGATCGCGTGTCTGAACAAAAATACTCAAGGAGCCTAGAGCCCGGAACTAAAATTACAGTCCCCATCCGACATGAAATGCTGTCAGAGGAATCGTACATATCGTCGGAAACAACGTCAGAATGATGCAAGTTTGCGACCATCGCCGTACGGTCAATCTGTATGCCCGTCAAACCAACCCAGCCTATCCATGGTGAGTAATAGCCAATTAAGTCTTCTTAATTTCTGGATTTTATGATGTGACCACAAAAGTTATTGCAGTAGAAGACCAAATCAAAATTTTCTGTCAAAATAAATACATGTAGAACGACACAATTATTTCTAATCACGAATAAAGAAATAGTATAGTTCCGCCCTGCCAAACCAAAACATTAAGAGTTATCATCAAGGGAATTAAAAGTGACATTCGTGAAGCTGAAATCATGGAGGAGATTAAGAACTTGGGATACGAGCCAAACCTAGTGAAGAAATTAACAAAAGATAGGATTTTATTGATTTCACTATAAAATCCATAGACGGCCAAAGAAATATTCCAGTTGAATGAATTCTCTTACGTGAATTTTAACATTGAACCTTACTAAGCAACTGGACACGATGAGTACTTTTCTTGCCAACGATTTGGCTACTTTTCATATCAGTGAGACTATCCACTATGATGCATCAAATACGGTGATGATCATATGAAAAAAAGTGTACTCAGCCAAAATATGGTTCAGAAAAATGCTATGATTGTGGTGACGAACGTGCCGCTAACTGATGATTACAGAGGATGCCCATACTACAACCAAATAGCCTGAGAAAAGAAAGAACAAATTAGAGAAATCAAAATCAAAACCACTGATAAAATCAGCTCAACATCGACCACAAAAAAAATAATAGCAACTAAACCAACATTCAAGCAAGTCACCAAAACAGAAAACCAAGAGTATTAAATATAAAGCACAAACTCCTTAATTATATTTCCTTCTTGTATTTTACATTATGAAGAAAAAAATTAGCAATTGGTTATTAGGTAGGTACCAATTTGAAAAATTCTCTCGCCTATACAAAGCTAAAAATCAGAGGAAAATATATATTATGCAAAATATGGTTAGAAATATAATATTTGTTCAAAAAATTAAAACAATCTTTCAAGTGTCGCATGTGTATATGAGGATGCGTCTATAGTATGTGCCCACTGCCCATGTATATGTATATCGAATTATCCCACACTCCGTATGGTAAATTGTATTATATGTTGCATAGGTACTGTAGAAGTATTGTATACTAAAAAGACTATATTAATATCAATAAAAATATGTTTTTTATTTATTGACTAATGATAACAATATTATTGTTACAAATGTATTTATTTTATAATTCACTTGGACACTAGTAATACAATAAGTAGAATTAAGAGTTGCCGAAAACAAATAATTTTAAAATGCTATTGTGTGTATATACAATATTCAATATACCAATATTTCTATTCATTAAATAATAAACTTTTTTAGTTTTAAGTAGGTATATCTAACTTCAAATGAATAATTTTTTTTTTATTAAAAAACAATTACTAAAATCATTAATTTCTGTTTAAATATCAAAAATTTCATCCTAATTGTAACTTATTGGGAATTTTTTATTCAGTTTTCAAATCCCATATATAATTAGAAAATAATTAATGAATTTCCAACTCAACTTCATTTGAACTGTTTTCATGATTTTGATAACCGATGTTAGAATACTAACTTAACTTCAGAAGCTTCTAATCAATTACTATGGATTAACTCTCAATTTTTTTTTACGCCCACAAACTTGTGAAAAACTTAACTTAAATTTTCAAGTTTTTTGAGAGAGTGAAATTTTTTTTAATGACAATAATTCAAAAAAAAAAACTATTAAAAATCCAAAATTGTCTTATGCCCATAAATGTTAAGACATTTTTACTACCAAATGAAGAGTTGACGGTCACAAAAAAATAAAAATAAAATACATTTTGTTAAATCAATATATTTACGATCCGCTCAGCATTTAATGTTCAAAGTAAAAGAACAAAACTATTTACAGACAATATGTTCTCTCAATTCAGGGCTAAGAACACTAAACATATTTGAAGCAACAAGTATTACACTAATATTATCCATTAAAATATTTTGCAGCATTTAAGTCATAAGCTCCCAAATATTTTTTTACCACTTCTCGAAGAAATCCTAATTATGTTTCAGATATTAAGTACGAAACTGAAGGATATTTGGTATTAACTTTGATTATTGTAGCATTGTTTAATTAAAAATACTGAACTTATTGAGTATAAATAGTATATTGTACAAGTTACAAAATACTTTAGATATTTAGAAAATACCCAGAAATAAACACTGAACAATTTATTTTTAACAAGATGTAATATTATTATACTTCAAGTGCTTAATAACTTAAATTCGAGTTTTTCAAATACTGTTCATTCTTGGCGTCGCAAAGTGGCTTGTGAAAAATATTCGAGCGTAAGTAATATTATTAAACATGAAATGCGTACCCTCTCTCCCCTCCCAATCAGTTAAAAATCTATGAGACGGACGGTTTGGCCCCTTACAATTTGAAGAAGGTAAATTTATAGTAAATGTGTTGTGTAGGAATTACATAAAATTATGTAAGGCAAAAGTGTTAATAATTTTCGTTAAATTAACGAGTGAAGACAATTTAATCGATCACCATAATGTGTATTTTAAGGGGCTGCAGTGGGGGCAACAGTTAAGTGGCATATACATACATTGTGTGTGGGAGCGAGGGGGAACAAAAAGAAAAATTTTAATTTAAGTACCCGCACATTTAAATTATAAATAACAAAACATATATTTAACACATTTTATATCAAAACCACAAACAATAAATTATAGTTTAATTTTAATCTTTTATTTTTAGACACTTCATCAATAATTACTTCTTCGGCACAAATAGGAATATGTATTTGATAAGTATGTACATTTTCCATCTTAATACAAAATTGATAATATTTTAGTTTAAATCCCATCTGTTCATTATATTATTATTTCTCAAAACTTTTTCTATGTAGGAACATTTATTATTAGCCTCGTGGATATGCGGGCGTCGTCGTTGCAGCGTTGTAATTATTATAATAGTGTGCCGTCTGTTAGATGTGACGTAATCAAAACTAACAAAAATAGTAGAAATTCTTTTTTACATAAAAATTACCCCTCCCCGATCCCTCACACTATATCACAATTTTATAAAATACTAAAAAAAGGTCTATAGGGGGATTTTACCACCACAGGAGCATAAGCTCCTGCAACAGTGTGGTAAACAATATTCTATTCGCCTTTGTTTGAAGCTCTAATTATTTTATTATAATGTATAAAACAAATTTTTTGTTTTTTTTTTTTGGAGTGAAGTAAATCATTGAGTAGTGTGATATAAAAAAACTGTGTGACACTTAAGCATATCATGAAGGCAGGTATACTATCGTGGCCAGTGGCAAAGGTCCTAACTTGTACAACTTTTCATGTAACTAACGCCCAGGTATCCATATCGCTTATTTGATCTTAGCCAAATCAACAACCTTACTGATAATGTCCTCAGAGTAGCAACCCTTCCAGAGGCTTAACTGGTTAGGACTGAGTTCTATTGTCTGATCGAAGTGCCTTTGGCTCGTTGAGCCTTAGAAGAAGAGTCCTCTCAAATAATGTAAAATTGGCATTTATTATGCATAAATGTTAACAGCTAGACGGGTTGGTCACGGACTTGTCTAGTCACTTATTAAAAATTAGTAGTATAGCCTGTCTCCTTCTAATAGGAAAACGGGAATCTCGTAAACATCGGCTGAACGTTTTAACAAGTGTTTCAGGAGATTCTCCAGCAATTGCGAGTCGGGAATACCATCCAATAAAATGTCCCCTTCCCCCTTGACAGGTGGTACACAGATAACATGAGCCCTTGGTAGAGATAAGAGGACACTTGCTGTCATGGTTTGTATTATTACCATCAGTGGTTGGCCGAGAGATGGTAGAAGCTGTTCGACCGCCCATTGATATTCGTTGCCAATTTGTG